TTCATGCTACTTTTGGCAGAGTATTCCAGACACGCTATGGGATCTGCTCTCCAGGACGTTGCCCTGGACCCAGGAGAGACTGGCCTTCTCTTGAAAAGCAGATTGAGGGTGGCAGCCAGGGCGCCGCTCGCTCCTGAGAGTCTCGAGACGGAAGAGCAGAGAAGATCTGGAGGAAGAAGGGAAGAGGAGCCGGCCTGGAGGAGGGGCAGCCTCGGAAGCAGGGGGCAGCCCTGGAGGAAACCCCTTAGGAGGAAGGCACACATTGGGGTGGGAGGGGAGACGGACCCAGGCCAGGAGAGGGGGCCTTGTGGCTGGAGGAGAATGGCCACACACAAATGGTTAAAATATTGCTTGCTTCTATTATATCATGAAAAAATGGCAGTGACCAGAGCTGCCTGGATTAGGAAAAAAGGGTGTAATTCCATCTTGGGGCTTCTGGTGAATTGAGTTTGTGGCTCTGTGGTTTATGATGTCACCAGAACTCCTGGCTGGAATTACAGCCTTTTAATTTACTACTTGGCAAGTAGGGAGGCTGAGGGTCCATTGTGCCTGCTTGAAATGTGGTGAGGACGCCAGGGTCGAGGTTAGCCCGGGAGCTCAAGTTCTGGAGGCCGGCCTCGTCTACCCTTGGTGGGTAGATAGTCTTGCTTAAGCCACTTTTCCTGTTCACTCCTCTGTTTCTTCTCTCTCTGTCTCCCCATCCCTCCCTCCTTGTTTCCCCAAGTTGCACAGCTTGATTTTCCCATGATTTACATTATAAAAAACCCAAGAGTCCTCTGGCCTTCATGCTCACTAAGCTCTCTGATCAAACCTTGACATCTCAAAACCCACCCAAGAAGGGCTCAAATGTGGCATCTCTGACCTCTGAAGGAAGAAGTCTCCTGTGAAGTCCGTAGCTCACTTCTGTCTTTTGTTCTGCCCCCAGCCTCCCATGTCACCTTATGTGTCAAGGTCAGGAAGTGATCGAGCTCGCGGCTTAGCCTCAACAGAGTGACTGTCATGGCTTCTTCAGACGTGGTGGCAATGTTGCTACCCCGGTGCCTTTGGTTATCCTAGTTCCTCAGGCTCCATTTTTTCGTCAACCCTTAACAAATGTTTTCTTAGTATTTATTACGTGCCAGGAGATGCTAGGCTGAGATCTGGGGATATAATAGAAAGCAGGATAGATGTGATTGCTGTCCTTGTGAAGGCTCCACCTGCCTGCTTGGCATTGCTGTTTCAGGGCTGCAGAGGTCTCCAAGTGGCTGTCCCAGCCCCTGTCTCCAAATCTGCTCCTCCTCCAGTGTCCCCCTCAGTTCCTGCCACTGTCATTGTCTAGTTGCTCAAGCTGGAGCTCTAGGAGTGTCCTGCCTGATATCTCCTTTTCGCTCATTCCCAACATCCATCCTTCAGCTGCTCTTGTCCTTGGGACCCCCAAAATAGGACTGTTCTGCTCTGGACCCCTTTTCTCCATCTCACGAACATCCTGTTTCTCCACCAGCTCTTCACAATTGCAACAGCATCCCCATGGCACCTCCCACTTCTTTATTATTCTCTCTAATCCCAGAGTTCTCAAAGTGGTGTGCCTGGACCAGGAGCAGTATTATCGCCTGAGGGTTGCATACTCTTGGGCCTCCCCAGACCCGTCGATTCCCATCAGAATCTTGGGAGCAGGGGCGGCGGCCTTGATTTTAACAAGCACCTCAGGTGCTCTTGATGCAAGCCCACGTTTCAGAACATCTTCAATGCATTCTCCAACCGGGGAGGGTGCTCAGCACTTTTTGTGCAGTCTCTTCCCTCCTCCCGTTTTACAGATGAGGGAACTGAGGGCTGATCTTAGAAGCTAGATTAGATTGTATAACTCCCAAGCTGAGAACTCTTCAGGAGCTTCCCATGCACTTAGAATAGAACTCTTTTCCGCAGTCTGTGAGACCCTACCCAGCCTGGCTCTGGCCTCTCTCCCCAGCCTCCCCCTGAGCAGCACTTTTCCTGGGGCTCAGCTGCTTCCAGACATTCTCCTCTTTCATTCCATTAGCGCACAATTCCCTTTCCAGCCTCAGGGCCTTATGCACACACTGCTCCCTCTGCCTAGGACACTTCTCTCCCCTGACTTTGCGTGCGTAGCACCTTCACCTCATCTTTCAGGCTCGGCACAAATGTCACCTCCTCAGGAAGAACTCCCCTGACCGTCTTAAAATAGGTTTCCCTGGTATTCTCCATTTCAGTTCCTTACACGTCTCCTGACAGTACACACAATTAGGAATAACTTTACTCATTTGTTTTTTTTTTTTTTCTGTTTCCTCCACTAGGAAGTAAGCCCTTTGGGGATGGGAGCTGTGTCTGTTTACCACCATGTTCCTAGTACCTAGCTCAGTCCTGGAAATATAGCATGGAATGAATGAATGAATGAAACATAGTCTAGCTTATTTTGTTTTGCCATCAAAGTCGTTACTTATCTTTAAAGTCTCAGCTCAAATGTTACCTTCTCTGGGGAGCCTTCCCTCGTTTCCCTGAGCAGAGTTAAATGTGTCCTCCCAGCACGCTCTGGATGGCACCATCATGACACACACGTCCTTGCAAGGCGGTGGGGGCCTTGGGATGGCAAGAGTGGGCTTTAAGGCACAGGGACCTGGGTCCACAAAACAGCCCGTGTCACTTCCTGGCTGTGTGTCATTTTGCCTCTCTGAGTCCCTCGTGTGTAGGGTGGGGAGTTTCTCGTGAGTGTGGAGGTAACGTGCCCGGCTGGGAGCAGGCCCTTTCGAAGCGTAGCTCTTGTTTCAGAGCCGGCTGTTCACAGAAGGCTCGCTCAGGGGGCTGGGGGCTCGTGGAGCGCTGGCCTGTGTCCTGTCGCCCGTGCTGGCTGAGGGAGGAGGCATAGATGCCTCTGCACGCCCCTCCCCGTGCTCACCCAGGGCATGGCTGTGGTGGCCGGCCAGCCAGAGGACAGTGAGCGGGCTGTCTGTGCCTGTGGGCGAGCCCCGCCTGTGAGTCACAGGGAAAGGGAACACAGCTGCTTTGAAAAGCAAGCTCGAGCTATTTACCGATGCCCCCCGCCAACGAACTGCACAAATAGATGAGCCCCAAACGCAAAGAAAACCCCGGGATCACGGCTGGGTGGAGGATCCCATTTGCTGGAGACGCCCCTGGGTGTTCTGTGACACCGCTTTCAAGGCCTGGTGGGCTTCTTTCCCATCTGAGACCTCTTCTTCCAGCTCTTGCCCTCAGTTGCATGGGTGTCAGGGAATGCAGGAGACGCTGGATTCCTGGGCAGTGCATCCGGCTTTGCCGACCCTCAGTTGGTGATGCATGATGTCTTCTTTTGTCCCTCCGAGACTCCTGGCCTTGCAGTGGATGCTGATGGCGGCCAGTCCAGTCTCCCCTCCGCAGCTCCCTGCCCTCTTCCTTGGAGCTCCCTGAACTGCTCCGCCCCCTGCTGACCTCCACCCAGGGGCGGCAGGAGCCCCCTCCGAGTTCAGCAGCGCCTGCCCTCTTGTCACGTGTTCTGTTTCAGGGGACACTTTAAGGCTGTGGCTTCCTCTGGAGGGAGGACATTGCCATTGGTCATCTTCCCGAGCGCTCCCTGGGCACAGCACGCTTCTGCCTCAGGCCTCCCTTAGTGTATATGGGTATATTTAGTGTATATTTTCTACTTGAGGCATTTGGGTCTCATCTTCGTGAATTTTGCCATAGTACATTTGCAACTACTTCTATGATTGCATATTTTTCTTTGAACCTACTCGTTTTATGTCAATAGATTTATTCTCAAGGGAAGATTTATTTCACTATCATAAATAGAAAACCAGCATGAGTTGCCAGTAGTCAACAGCAATCATACAAGAAGGGCAAAGTGACTTTATGGATTTCAGCTGATCTTTTCACCCGCCAAAGACTGGAGCTCAGGCCTGCTTTCTCTTTGTTAAAAGGGAGAACAGCAGATTTTAGAGATGTGTTAATGTCATATTCGTGTTAAAGTCACATATTAAAGTCACTGTGACTTTTTCCTTGACATAATAAGAAAGTTTGAAAGAGAATTGAGGACAAAATAATTCCTTGATTTACTGTGATTAAATCAAGGCACCACCTACACTATTTTCGGTGTTAAGAGCCAATACTTACATAGTGAGGGCACCTAGCATTTTATGTAGATTAACTCACTTATTTTGACAACAACCCTGTGATGTTGTATTGTAATTATCTCCATTTCACAGATTAAGAAATTGAGGCATCAAGAGCTGGACCTGCCCACGTTCATACAGCTAGTGAGTGATGGAGGCGGAGTTAGGTCCCCGCTGTCTGGTTCTGGACGCCTTCATGTCAAACGTCACTGTCTCCAGCCTTCTGAAGGTACCACTCATCCCAACGCTTTGGGAATGTTGGCCGTGTGGAAGGTCGCAGACACTGAGGCCAGGACCGTGTCTTCCCTGGGCATGGTGGGACTGGCATGGGCAGAGCTGTGACCTGTCGACAGAGCTGCTCCCTCCCAGGGCCAGGAGCTGTGGCCATCATTGTGCCTCTGGTGCTTTGTTTCTACTCCGTTCTCTGCACTGAGTGCCTGCTGTGGGCTTGGAACGGTGCTGGGCCCTGGAGCTGTGGAGACAAGCGCACCCCAGGCCTGTCCTCAAGGAGCTCACAGTTGTCCAGTTGGGGAGAGAGACATGTTAATGAGTACTGAAAGAGCCACAGGTTGGAGTTCCATTACAGAGGGGAGCCTGGTAGGGGGGTCGGGGTGGGGGTGGGGGCTGGGCTGTGGGCACCTTGCTCAGGTCAGGAGGTGGAGAATTGGTGGGGTTTGGAGAATGCTTCCTGAAATGAAGAAGGAAACAAAGGACTTCCAGAGCAGAGGGAAAGCGTGAGAAAAGGCCGGGGCTGACCAGCTGGGCATGGGCAGGGCCGCAGGCTTCTCGACCCCTTTGGAAAGTGTGGGCGAGTCTGGGTTCCTTTCCCAGTCGTGCTCTGAAAGCCTGGGCAGCGCTGCAGGGAACAACCTGAGCCAGCTCTCCTTTGTCATTGCTTTTTCAAAGGACGCGGATTTGGAATGCGTGCGCGGTGACCAGTGCAGACCTCCGCCTCGGCAGGGAGAAATGGAGGCTTCGGGCCCCCGCCGCTCCCCAAAGAACCGCAGATTGCTGTGGGCTGATTTTTACGGCCTCTGTTCCACCATTGCAGCCTGTGACTCCGAGGTGCAAACTCGGCCAGCCCAGAGAGGTAATTTTAGGGGTGAGTTTGTTTGTTTTAAACCCCCTACTGGCAGTTGGGTCAGATTTTTATGTGATGATTTTGTGTTCTGCATATAAGGAAGCACTGCTCGTTGGCTACTACAGATGTGCCCAAAACATCTCTCTCCAGAATAAACGTGCTCTGCCGATGAAATGGAACATACTGGGGCCACACTCAGAATAGAACGTCCTTGGCTTGGTGTGGGATCCCTGATGAGCCGCTGACAAGATCCCTAGTGTGGGAACTGCCACACTCCATGCTCGCGTCTCCTTCCCAAAGGCAGGAGGCTTCAGGACATGGAGCTGAAGGACTGTGATGAGTGGCAGGCTGTGACCATTTAGGGGGATGCAATGCTCCCTGGGCCATTTAAAGGATGATGTACTTTTGCACAGCATTTGATAAGTGGCGGTGGAGGGGCCACGTTTGGTGTGGGAGAGGAAGAAAAGTAGTCACACTTCAGATCTTCAGACCAGAGCGGTTTTGGTTGCATCTCCATGTGAAATGGAAGTTTGGAAATCTGGTCAGATTTCCAGGCGGGAAAGGAAGGTGGGTGGGAATCCTGAGCTCCACTAGTGAACAGAAGGACAGGGGCTGTGTTGCCTACCCTCTCAAGAGAGCAGGGACCTTTTTGTGCAAAGTGAGGAGGTTAGGCTGTTAGGGAAGCTTTCCGGTCACTTTCAGATCTTAAGTCAGTGATTCTCCTGGAAGGATGAGTAGGAATTTGCTCGATCATTTTGCTCAGCATACTGGGCAAGTTCCTTCAGCTGCAAGTTACAGAAACTCTCTGGGACTCTATCAGCAGGACATTGGGGGCACTCACAGGATCAAAGGAAAAGCCGAGTGCCCGAGTCACGCAAAGGAGGGGAACCAGGACAGCACATGGAGCTGGGGAGCAGAACTGAAGTGCTGTCTCCTGGGCTTTACTGATGAGCCCGTCAGACCCAGCCTTTGTTGGTCTCGCGTTGTTCTACTCTAGCTGCGAAATTCCTGGGTGAGAGAGAGTCTAACTTGTCTTGAGTCCCAGACCCACTCCTTGGGTGAGGGACCCAGGGTGCCTGATTGACAGGCCCATCAAGACTGTGTGCCATGGGTGGAGGGAGGCAGGAAGGGAAGAATAACTCCCCAAAGGAGAAGTGTGTTGTTACCAAAGGGGCGTGGGCATAGATACTGGATGGGCTAAAATAACAGGTTTCCGTTACTCAGAGATAATGAATAAAAAGGAGATCATCTGGACTGTCACAGTGCCTATTTGAAGGTCATAATGAGCGTGGCATTGGTCTTCTCCCATCCTATTGAGCATTTGCTTAAATATTCCAGTTGGCTGTGTAGAGACAAGCATCTCTACGTGTGGTCCACGACATGGCCACAGTGCAGGATCGTGGCTATTTCAGCCATTTGTCCAGTCCATGGATGAGTAGAATTGAGTGCACAGAATTAAGTGAAGCTGAAATGACTGGAATGATGATATTGGGGGGGGTCTCTCTTTTCAGTTTTGGAGTCATGAGCATGATTTTTTTTTTGTCGGGATTCTTTGTACACGTTCCTTGGACCAAAAGGGAAAAAAGGAAGGAGAGGAATATGAGAGAAATTGATAGCACTCTTAAACTGTTGGTTTACTTTATTCCCTTGCCCTCTTGGGTTATAGTTATATTGTTAAATTTCCACTAAGTACTATTCTTACCATGCTCTGACACTGGAGAAACAGCTTTGAGCAGCATTTTCCAAAGCATGTTCTATGGGATCAAGGCCTTGAGAGCCTCAAAAAAAGGGCAAGATTTCATAGTCAAACTTGGAATGTCTTGCAAATTATATTGACTGTTGCATATTCATGATGCTCATTAGCATATTAAAGGAGCTGACAAGTCCGGCAGTAAATAAGCCTGTTTAGTTCTCTCTAGTTTGGCATTTTCCAAACGTTGGCGAACATGGAACATTTAAAAATAACACCTATTACTAAATAACACCTTTGGCTTCAAGGAATGCTCACAGGGCTCTTTCACCTCCACTGATCAGGAGCACACGTGGTCATTGGTCACCTCTTCATCTTCTTGGCACTTACAGATTTCTACCTAGTGACTTCGGAGGCCATGTCTACTTATATTTGATAATTCTAAAGTAAACCTGGGGTCTTAAGGCATACTTACATATTGTTCCAGATTTTCTGTGACAAGGTTCGTTTACCCTGCTACCAAATGTTTGTCAGGTGCCAATGTCCAGAGTGTTCTGTGAGGTGCAGTTGGAAGCAGAGAAATGAATAAGGGATAGACCCTTCTTTCAAGAGCCTCTGGGCTCTCAGGGGAAGAGTGCATGCAGGCAAATGATGAAAAAGAGGTAGAATGAGTAACAATAAAGAGATGCTCTAGGCGAGTCCCAGGATAGGCTCGGCATTTTGTGTGCATGTTGTCTAAGGACAAATTAATTATGAATATTGTACCTAAAGCTCGGCAGCTCTGCCATATAGGTGTTCCTTTCCCCATTTACAGGTAAGGAACTGAGGTTCAGAGAGGTGCGTCTCTTGCCGATACCTCACTGTAGGTGAGTGATGGAGGAAGGGCTCAGACCAGCTCTGTCTGACTCTGCAGCTCGAGGTCTTTGCAAATACCCCACGCTGCTGCTGTTTCCTCACCAGGTATCTCAACCCCAGAGCCAGGTCATTTCTGGGACTGTCAGATGTCAGAGTGGGCTCAAATATTGAAATGAGTGCTGTCTCGGAAAACTTGAGCGATGATCCTTGTCACCGATGGGAACTGAGAGGGAGGCAGCTTTAACCTTAAAATAGAAAGTCATTTCTAATTGCATGAGCAGTTCATGAATACACTTTTCTAAACAATAAAAATATTGCAGAGAAGCCAAAGTATTCTATAACAGCTATCCTGGTCTCCTCTTCTCTCCCCCAAAGGCAAACCACATAATCAGTTTGGCACGTGTTCCTCCAGAACTTTCTCTGTGTATTACTTAATGTACAAGTGGATGTAATGTGGGAAATATCACACTGAGTGAATTATCTCCCAAGTTTTCTTTTTTCGCTCAACAGTAAATTTGGAGCTCTTGCTATAGTAGTACATATAGGTACATCCCTTTTTTCCAGCTTTTTATTTTGAAGCAACTTCTTATTTTGGAACAAAAGTTGCAAGAATAAGATTAGTTCAAAGATGTGTGTGTATATTTATATGCACACACACACACATGTTAGAGAGAGATATAATGTAATTTTATCATGTATACAATGTAATTGTCTTTTCTGAATCGTTTGAGAATAAGTAGTGTACATTCTGTCCTTGCCCCCTTAAGTACTTCTCTGTGTATTTCATATGAGTAAAGACAGTCTCTTAAATCGTCACAGTAGTTATGAATTTCTCTAAGTTTAATGTTGATATGCTACTTTTACCTAGTCTACCATCTATATTCCATATTCCATTTTTGTCACTTAACCGAATAATGTCCTTTGTTGTATTTTCCCCTCCAGTCCAGGATCCAGTCGAGGATCAGATATGGCATTTAGTTGTCAGGTCTCTTTCTTCTTCAATTAACATGGAACATTTTTACAATCTTTCTTTGTGTTTTATGATACTGACACTTTTGAAGAATATAGTCACTTTTTATAAAATGGGCTATTTCTTATTTTGGGTTTCTGATGTCCTCTCAGCATTAGATTGATTATTAGATTCAGGTTAGGCATTTTCAGCCAGAATATTGTATTGATGATGACTCCTTTTCAGCATACCATATCTGTGGGTACCACATCTGCACCACAATGTCCATCTGCCCCTTGCTGGTGATGCTAAATGTAATCACCTAGGCAAGGTGTTGTCTGATTTGTCTACTATATAGTTACCATTTTTTTCCCCTTGCAATTAATATGCAGTCTCTTGGAAGACATTTAAGACCATTCAAATAGCCCACTCCTCATAGACACTTCCCCCCAGATTTAGCATCCATTGATGATTCTTGCCTGAGCCAATCTTTATTGTGATGGTTGCAAAATGATGATTTTCCAGCACTGACGATCTCTCCACATACACCAGTGGGCTTGGCATTCTGCTATAAGCTAGGGCCCTCCCTTCTCCCCTATGTATTTATCTATTTATTATGGACTCATGGGTTCTAATTTTTCAGTGGTCTATAATTTATTACTATCTTTAATTATTTTAGTGCTCAAATTGTCCCAGATTAGGCCAGTGGAGGCTCCCTCTGTATCAGTGTGACACGTATGCATCATTTTTTTGAGTACTTCATTACTGTCTGGCATGACAAAGTGTTCCAGGCTCATCTTGTACCGACCCTGCATCAGCCCTGGAATCGGCCATTTCTCCAAGGAGCGCTGGTTTCTGTTAGGGCTTGGTATCATAGGCCAAGATCTGCATGCTAGCATGACTGTCACTACTGGGTCTCATTGCTTCTATCTCTTGTATTCTTTCTAATTACTGCCTGGTATTTCATTGAATGGCTGCACAATAGTTTATCTATTGCTCCTTTTATAGATGTTTAGGTTGCTTCCAGTTTGTTCCTATTTCAAGCAACTGTCAGTGAACATTCTTGTCCATGCTCTTTGTGCATTTGTGTAAGGAATATTTCTCCAAGGGTGGGCGATGAGAAGTGGAATTGCTTGTTCCTAAGGTGTGTATGCTCAAAACTTTACTGGATACTGCCCATTTATTCTCCACAATGGCTGCACCAATTTAGAGCCCAACAAACAGGATATGAGAGTCCTTATTTTTCCACCCCCTTTCTGATGCTTGGTGTTATGAAACATTTTGTTTTTCACAATCTCAGGGGTGAAAAATGTTGTCTTATTGTCTTAATGTTCATTGTCCTGATTGTAAATGAGGGCGAGCATTTTCTCATGTGTTTATTGGCCATCTGTCTTCTTCCTGGAGGAAATAGAGAAAGCTTTACGAGGGACATAACAGTTGAGTCAGCCCTCAGTGGATGAGAAGGCTTTTAGGAGGCAGACAAGGCAGGGAGGCTGCTTCAGATGTAGGAAACAA